CCAAAGGTATAGCAAAAGTCACCAGCCTCAGGACCAGACAAATAGAGTGATACCTGGAACAGTGGGGTGGGAGGGATGAGTGGAGATGATTAGCTACCAAGATGAAGGCTGGAAGGTGGACACTGCAGTTACATACAGGTACACCTGGCTTTGCACAAACCTAAGGTATGAAAATCCAGAGTCATCAAAATAGATTGGGGATGGGAGTCTACAATCTAGAATTCTTCACAAAAGGAGTCATCATGGGGACACTTTAAAGGAGTGATTCTCCATCCTGGCTTCATGGCAGCAACACCTGGGAGCTGGAGGGTGGTCTGCCACCAGTATGTATAGTGATTAGCTGATGTTGACAGAGATAATAGAACCTACATCACTGAGTTGTTAGAAAGATTAAGTGAGTTCCATGTAGAAACAGCTCAGAACAGTACTTATCAAGTAGTAAGGGTTATTAGTATTGTATAAGTGTTAGATACTGCTCACCAATCTAAGGAAGGGCCTGTATTTCTAGCATGGTTGGAATGGGAGGAGGTGGTTTGTACTGGAAGGATGTATCCCACCTCTGGGTCCTCCACATCACCATTCCATAGGTTGAAGAATCTTTCTAGCCACATATCCACTGACAGCCACATCACATCATATTTGTCTATATCTGTATATTTATATATCTGTACATTCACCCCCCCACTCTTCAGAAACCATCTTTGAGAGTAGGGAAATAAAAAGGTAATCTGAGAGACTGAGAATGTTGACTTGAGATATCAAGTATGTACCTAAATGGACAATTATTGACTATCATTTCTTCACTACTGGCAGGTTGGTGCTCATGAAAATGACCAAATCAATAGGAAAAACTTAAAAAACATATTTTCTGCAAATAAGTAAAAAAAAATAAAAAATAAAAAAAAATCCCAATGCCCAGGCTCCACCTCAGATCAATTAAATCAGAATCTCTAGGGGTGAAGCCCACAGAGCAGGAGGTGTTAAAGCTTCCCAGGTGATTCCAATGTGAATCCAGGCTGAGAATCTTGTAAAGAATGATCTCCTCAGTAAATGTTAATATTCAATTTCTAATCTGGAAATAAGCATCAGAAGCCTTCTTTAAAAAGGTCTGCTAGCCTTTGAGCCAGTAATTTCACCTTTTGGAATTTATAGAAGGAAAATAACCAGAGATATAAACAACGATTAATGTAGAACGATGTTTATCACAGTATTATTTGTGAGAGCAAATTTAAAATACTGTGAAGGAAACAGGAAGGACTCCTAAGTGCTGGGGGGTGAGGGCACAGAGTAAGATGAGGTTCCAGCTGTGTCTTAAAGGATGAGGGAGAGTTTGCCTAGGAAACAAGGCGGATAGCAATGTGGAGGGCAGGCCTGCCCCAGGGTTAGGACACAGAGGAGCTTATTCATATTTTTAACCCAGACAGTCTAGCTTGTCTGCAGAGTGCCAGCCAGAGACCAGAACCAGGAGAGCCAATTAAGGCAGTTCAGGCCCTGAAACAGTAGATGGGAAGAGGGCGGGCTAGATGCAGATCTTGATTGGGTAGGTCTGGTGTAGGGCCTGGTAGTCTACATTTCTAAAGATCTCCCACGTGATGATGATCCTGGTCCTCAAACCCACTTGGAATAGTGACGGGCTGGAATTAATACAAAGGAGCTATTTTCACCCCCCAGCCTAATGGAGAACCAGAGCATGGGGTTTCCTAGGGGAAAAATAAAACCTGAAGTTTGAGGGCCAATGGTCAAGGGTACAGGACATCCCAAGAATGCTACAGATTCTCTGACTTAATAAGCCCTTGTCCCAAGGAACAAGGCAGAAGCCCTCAGCCTAGACAATCAGCACATACCCACTATCATTCCTCAAATATCTGAGAAGTACCTCCCAGGCCAGGCACCGGGAATACAAAGAACTCCCAGTGTAAAATTGTAGAGCTGACTCACAATAGAAATATCCTCAAAACAAGGCACCTAAGAGATGATTTGGGACTTTGGGAGCTGTGACAGAATGAAACCAGAGCCGTGAGCTTGGCTGAGCAGGGGGTATTCTCAGGGAAGCAATCATCAATAAAGTAATTCAAGCCAGAGCTTGAATTTTTAGAAACTGCAACAGATGTGTTATAGGTGTGTAATGACACCTTGTAGTATGGGGTAAATTAATTTAAAATGGCTGAAAATGATAAACTACTCCACATTACTTCCAAGTACTTTTAGCTCAGCCAATGAAAATGAGAGAATTTTTAACAGCTCCATACTTTCTTTAGATAACCACAAAATGATCCAGAAGGACAAGTCCAGACCTCATTTCCTTTTCTTTCAAAGTGAATCACTGAGTCATATACAGGTCCAGATGCCAAGTTCTTTGCTTTTTCATTTCTTCTGTAACTCATGTAAACGTGTGGCAAAACGAAACCTAAAGTGTGTTTATCTAAGAACAGTGCATGCTCCCACAGGTGGTGCCAAGCGCTGCCTGGTGAGTGGCCTTCTCCTGGGAAACTGCTCATTAAAGCCATGCCTACAGACAGCCAAGAATTTGTATGGCCTGGGCTAGTTTCCTTAACAATGGTACCATATAAGGAATATGGCAATAGAATGGGATAGTAAGAATCTGTTTTTCCAGTAGCCCTTGAAAGAAAGGGTGCATTACAGAACCAGCACAATGAACCCCATGTGAAGGACAGCCTGTCTTTATAGCAGAAGTGGCTATTTGGGGCTACCTCATGCTCTCCTAAAGGATAATAGGTATGGGATAAAGGGTGTACCCCGAACTGAGAGCACTGATACCTTTGGGGAGGAATGCAGGATAGCTTGAGCTCTATCAAAGGCACTTTTACTTGAATGATATCACTTGAATTTTTTATAACAAGAATATATTCAAACCTTACTTGCATAATTAAAAATAAATTTTTAAAAAGCATGAACAAATCAAAACAATGCAAGCTCTCGTTGCATTTATCCCATATGCATCAAACAAACCTGATTCTGTTTGCCAAGACCTTCTGGCAGGAAGAGAACGTACTGAGCATTCCAGCCCATTTGGATGTTTCTTAGTAAAAATGAATGAAGTGCATTGTAGGGTACCGTTTTGATAAGTTTGGTCCCTCAGACCCCAATCTCTCCTTCTGAACAGATCCCTCTCCTTCTGAAACCACAGGGGTCTTTCAGAAATGCATCCTAGATGGCACCAATGCCTTCCCTTGCCCAGGGATAAAATCTATACATCTTTGCAAGACATGCCCAGCTGTGCATGCTCTGGTTGACCTCATCTTTTCCTGTTCCCCACAACACCCACACGAAAATACAGACTTGTCCTCAGTGAGCTCCTGGCTTTCCGCCCATTCCACTATTCCTCCTAGAATACCAGTTTCCTTCTCGCTGCTCCTTGAAATCCTCCATGTCCCCTAGGGGCTCAGCATGGCATCAGCCACCACCCCTGGTTCATGTTCCCTGATCTCAGCCAAGGGCTAGGGTCTCTGCTTTAGGTTTCTCATTGTATATAGGCATACCTCATTTTACTGTGCGTCACAGATGTTGCATTTTTTTTTTACAAACTGAAGGTAGGACCCTCCGCCAGCAAAAAGATTACAACTTGCTTTATTATTGAAACCAAACCCGCGATATCTCCAAGGTATGACTGTATAGGGCTTACCCCACAGTACAGCTAGTGAGCACACTGTTAACTTCCCCTTGGGTCTTTAATTCTGTATCCTCAGCACCTGGCCCACAGCAGGCGCTCCATTAATATCTACTGACAAACTGAAGGAAGTTTCATCTCCAAGGCTCTAATGTCACAAACTTACAGAATTGAACATCTGAATTTGCAGAATCATGAGGGAAGTCAGTTGGCTTATCTTTCTCTGATCTTCCACTCCCTGTATGTTGAAACACCTGTGCACCGTGGTCTAGGCCTGAAATGCCCTCAACACATCCCTAGCCTGGTCTGCAATGGACCAGGTGAGAGCCAGGAGGCTGGACCTTTGTCTTGCAGCTTCCTGGGAGTAATAGCAAAGAGGGAACCCAACACTGACCACCTCATCAGAGATAATTCTAAAAATCTCCTTTAATCTGCTAATGTGGTTCATAACTATTGATTTTTTAATGTTGAACTCATTTTGCATTCCTGGGATAAACCCAACCTGTTGATGAGAAATTATTCTCTGTATACATTGCTAGATTCAGGACTCTAATATTTTATAGAAGATTTCTACATTTATACTCATGAGTAACACTGGCCTATAATTTTCTTGTTTCATCCTTACCAGATTTAGGATCAAGATTATATTAGCCTCTTTTTCAATATTCTAGAAGAATATTGAAATTGGAGTAACTTATTCCCTCAGTGATTGAACTCACCAAGGAAACCAACTAAGCCCAGAGTTTTCTGAGTGAAAATCTTTAAATGTCTTTAATGACTGTAGACTATTTCTGTTTTCTAGTTCTTATAAAATTTTGAAAGCAGATAATTCCAAACATTTGGATTACAAAGATAACTGCTATCTGGAATGCTGCCCCTGAGGTGAACTCAGCAAGAAATTAAGTGCCTTGTGAATCATCAGAAATAACAGCTCACATGTGTACTATATGTTACAATTTATAAGAGTGTTGCCCATATATTACCTCACTATGAAGATCAGGTCTGAGTAGCTTTAGTTACTTTTGGTGTTGATTATTTACAAAGGGATGGGTAACTTCCTATTTGGCAGAGTCAGCTGATTTAGATCAACACCCTATTGCTGGCCTCGCTAGGAAATCTTGGGGGAGGCCTATGCAACTATTGAATTCCTCATTTCACTCCTGGGAGTCACTTGTCATTGACAAAAGGAAGCAGCCACAAAGTGCTTTGGGAGTGTTGACATTAGGTGTGGGGAGTGTTCTTAGCTCAGAAACCTTCACCAAGGCCCGGCAGGGAACAGAAAGTCTAAGGGCTGGCATTTTTATAACAGGGGTTCCACAGGCCACCTGGCTTGGGACTCTGTGGACAGCACCGGGAAAAAAAGCGCACTCACCAGGGCCTCAAAGTCCTTGCAGTCACCACGAGCATAGGACGCGGGAAAGGGTCGCAGCACGGAGTCACGCTTGTAGCTCTGCAGGGCCGAGGCAAAGAGGCTGCACCGGAGGTCGGCTGCCAGCTCATCGCAGGCCACAGCCTCCCTGAGAGCCGACCTTCCTGTGGGTTGCATCCTGGGTCGCGGTGCGTTGCCGAGGGAGACGCGCCGGTTCAGGGGCTAGGGCCGAGCCTGCGGTCAGCGTAGGGCTGGCCCCAGGGACAAAGGGCCAGAGGGGGCCGGGGTCCCCAGACTTGAGGTCGAGCTAGGCAGAGGGATGAGATGACAGGGGTGAGAACATGCTCACAAGGTCTTCTGCAGGGGCCCTGGGCGGAAGGCTCGCTTCTCCGGCAGACTGGAGGGTGGAGGGGAGAAAGGACTGCGGGTCAGGGCGGAGGGTTGGGCCTGGGGATAATGGGGCCGCGCGGGTGGGGGTAGTCCCAGGCCTGAGGGAGGGGCTATGACATGGGATGAGAGGACAACGGCGGGAACGTGCTGACACGTGCCCTCTGCAGGGGCCCGGGGCGGTAGGCACCCCCGGGGGGACCGCAGACAGCACACT